AGGGGAGGGGAGAGAGCTGAGAGCCTTCCTTGTAGATAATTAATGAATTCCCTGCCATACCTCTCAGAAGGCAGAGGCCCATTTAACAAAGATCCACCTACCTGCGGCCTCTCAGAGCAGAGGGAGGCCGTACAAAGCAACCACGAATCCTGCCAGGGGCTTGTCAGAAGGCAAAGTACAGGAATAGACAAGACTCAAAAGAAAAAGCACTCCTGGCCATTGCTCTCAGAAAACAATATTCAATCACTAGCAAGGGAAGAAATGCAATTAATAAAGAAACACCATTTTTTCTTCCGGCCTATTCAAATAACAAAGATTGTTTTAACGATGACACCAAGACGTTGGTACGGGTGTGAGGACACAGGTGCTCACAAGCACTCTCAGAAACCACTGGGGCAGTGCACATTATTACAGACTTTCAGGAGGAGGAGGCATTTCTATCTATTCTTTGACTTAATAATTCCCTTTCTGAGACTTTATCCTAAGAAAACAATCAAGAAGCAGACAAAGAGATTCAAGGTATTTAAATACCAGTATTATTTTTAATAAAAGCTAGATAACCTAAATGCCTACATGATTAAAAACAAGTATGATCCAACATTAGATGTAACTTTTAAAGCAGATTTTTAAAACACATGTAGTAGAAGAGGTTTGCTTCTCCAAGTGTAGAGAGGAACTAAGGTCACTCTGCCCAGCTATTACTTCAAGCTAACGATGACCCTCTTCACAGCCCTTTCCGCCTTACAAGGGACAGCAACATCTGATATCTCCCTGGAACCTCGAAATAACACCTCACTTGTTTTTATTCCCATGCTGTTGATGAGAAAACTGAGGCTTACCAAGATGGGGTGACCTTTCCCAACCAATATTAACTACCACTTATTGAAAGCCTGCAACATGCTAGTCTAGCCTCTTTTGCATGCTATTACTTATTGAAATTTTAGAAACACTTAAATGAAACGTGCAAACCCAGTGTTAGCTGCAAAGGAAATAGCACTGAACAGGACAGACACTTCCTGTTAAATATGTACTGCATATATTAAGATTAATGTTCCCACAAACATTACCATCAGGCCCATTTTAAAGATGTGCAAACTGAGGCTCAGAAAAGTTAAGTGACTTGCTCCAGGAAAACCTGGCTTCAAATCCAACGGTGGCATACTTCCCATTATGCCTAGAAACTGTCTATACTGCACAGTCACCCAAGGCAAGGCAGAGAAGAACAGGCACTGCCTATGATAGGGGAAGGAGGGCAGGCAAGAAAAACCAGGCCTGGGTGCCCAGCCCCTCCTGCACATACTGTCAACGTTAATGCAGAAAAACAGATCCTGTCTTCCATTTTCCCTGCTCCTCACCACGCCTCCTCTCCCCATCCAGGGATTCCCTCACCCCAAGTGGCAGAACCAATTCCTCCCTACTCAGGGCCAGCTGAGGGTCCCTGAAAGCCCTCACCCGAAACTTCAGTACCTCCCTTCCTAGTCGCACACTACCTAGCATCCCACCATTAATAACTTCCAGGTATGGGAACTCAATTCCTGGGAGGGATAATCCATCTCTAACTCCTCACACAGCAGCTTGCATCCCTGCACCTAGGCTGCCCACGTTTCTTCCATAAGCTCTACACTGGAAGAACGGGAAGGGGGATACAGTCACTGCAGAATAGCTATGGGTGTAGGGGAACAGGTAGGGAGGCAGGGAGGACATAATCCCAGCATGGGGGGAGGGGGGGGGGGAAGGGGAGGAACAGGATCACCCAGAAACAGTGTCAAGGAGAAAAGGGATGAAGACAGCATAATATTGCCAGCTGACCCTCCTACCTACTCGGGAACATTAATAAATAAACGGGTGACTCTCGGAAATTATCTTCTGGGAAGGCAGAACCACCACATCCTGGATGGCTTTTACCCACATTAAAACAGCCTTGTAAACGAAGCGGCAGCATTTCCAGCCTGCAAAACAAAAATGCTTTTGCCAGCACACCTTTCACCTGGAAAGCCTCCGAGCAGCGTTCATTTCCGTTATCCGGGAGAAATGATTACCTGTCCTGGGTGCTTATTTTCAAAACCTCCAAAGGAACCTCCCCTGGGCCACTTCAGTGGATTAAATACAAAGGCTCAAACCTGTCCTGTAGCCCTAGGGACCCCCAGTACCCAAGTGTGCCCACCAAGCCCTGACTGGCCTAACCCCAGCCTCATAATTAGACACCAATCCTCTCTCCCAACCAGCCAGCCTCCGTGTCGCCACACCTGGGGCAGACTCCTTTCCCAGGGAGGTTTCCATCCTCCAAGTAAGAGAATTCCAGTGCAAAAAATAACCTTCCCACACAGCAGTTTGCAGAGCACAGACAGCATGCAACAAAATCACTTGAACAGCCACAAAGCATACAGGTTTATCCAAAGTCAGAACCCAAGTGGCGGCCCCCAAGTGTCTGCATGGGGAGGCCACAGGAGCCAGGGGCTCGCACTCATCACCTAGAAGCCCCACCCTCTTCCCTCTTCCCATTCACATCCCTGAGACTGGCACCTATGCACCTACCCTCCCCTCCCCCCTGCAGAAGGTGTGGCAGCCCAGTGGGGGTCCATGAAGCCGAATTCAACCCCCTGGTTTGTTCCTACACCAAGCCAAAGGCAGCCTTTCTGCCCTCCCAGCCTCCAACAGCACAAGCACACCAAGTCAGAGGACAGGGAGGTACCTCCCTCGCCCAGGTCTGACCAAGAGCTTTGCAGGAGTTGGGTCACCCTAGTCGGGTCTTACTCACTCGGACTCCACATAGGACGACTTCGACTCCAGGGGGTGCCCCAGGGGAATATCTCTCCCCATCCATTCCAGCAGCAGCCAACGAGTCTACTAACCAGAGCAGCAAAACAAGAGACCCCAGTCCTAGCCAAGCCTATTTCAGCTCCCAAGGCTGGGAAGAGAGACTTCAAACTCGGTCTCTCTCTCTGCCCGTCCGTAGGAAATCTCCTGTGCCAGAGAAGCCACCAAGCCAGATTTTGTTTGCAGAAAATTAAGACAACAATTCCACGCCACTGCCACGGCCATGCTGCTCCAACCACTACCGTGTACCACCATTTCTCGAAATGGGCTTACACAGGTTCACTCCCAACCCCCCACTCCGAGCCCCTCCAGCGTCTGGCAATGCTGACCTGAGGCCACGCCGCTGGGCAGGACCTGCTCGAGGGCATCTCGGCCATGCCCCAACCTCCAGCCAGGGTTGCCGGCCGGCCAGGCGTTCCCCAGCTTCTCGGTGCGGGCTGTCCGCGGGAAGGAGGTAAACATGGCATGCACGCTGTCTGCTCCCGGGAGGGCAGACGCACTCTGAGGCCGGACTGCCTGCTGTCTCTCCTGCTCCCCGACAACCACCGATACATGCACACAGAACGGGGTACGTACACAAGCCCCCGCATGCGGGTGCAGAGGGTCCTGACCCCCGCCAGGGAAAGCGCAGAGAAAGGCATGTTCCTGAGGGAGCGAGCCGGAGGCGGGGCCCGGCGCAGGGAGGAAGGCAGCAAACCCGGTGGCCTGACTCCGAGACAATAACAACGATGGGAAGCGAGATTTTTTTTTCATAGACGCAGTGGCTGCACCCAGCACTGAGCTCTGGCCTGGCTGCATCTGCCTGCCCCGGCACGCCTGGTCCCCTGGGGCACCGTGGCCATCAGAGAAAGGCTGAGGGTCCCGCCTCGGGCTAGGCTTGGCAGCTCGGAGGGGAACCACCTCGCTGCAGGCAGCGGCAGGATGCCCTGGGAAGTGCAGCTCTCTGGCTGGTAGAAATGGAAGGTCTGGTCATTCTACTGGGGCTACTCTCCGGAAAGATGCCAGGGGTCAGTTAAAGTCACTCAACCTTGGGCAGGAGTTGGGCTATCTAACTTGCACTCCTTTCCTCACTGGAACTAAAGGGGAGCAGAAACACATTCTTATTCCTCCCCGTGCCTCCCCTTCTCGCCAACTCGCCGATCACACACAAGGCACAGCCCCATGAAGGCAGATGCCAGCGGCCTGAGACGTGGGGCTGAATGGTGCCTACCCGTTCTTTCCCCTCCACTAGCTGGGCGGGGAGGGACACGTTCTAACCGGCACCACAATCCATCGCTGTACCTGTGCCCAAGGGGAAAGGTGCGGTGGCTGGCAGGGCTCAAGGAGCGTGACCTGGGCCCCGAGGGACTGTGCCTGCCCGCCCAGTGCCCCTACAGGCGGACAGGATGGCTTGCCCTTGCGAGCTGAAGCCTGCTCAGCTCCCGGGGACTCCCGGGCCCTCCCGGGCCGGCTGAACTGCCTCCTCCCTCTCCCTCCTCGGGCCCACGAGCCACCTCCCCCTGGAATTTCCACACCCTGCTCCTGGCTTGCCCAGGAAAAGGAAACAGGGAACAGGAGACACCCCTGGGAGTGGAGAGGTAAGCAAGGGAAGCAGCTGCCCAGGCCAGAGAGGCTAAGGCCCTTCCTCCTTCAACAGCCTCCCGCGACGCCCTGAGCTCAGGACCCGGCACGGCCGCTTGGCTCACCCCAGCCCCCAGAAGGGCGTGCGCCCTACTTAGAGCAGATGTGCCCCCTGAGCGGCCCAGCCCCCTGCTCCTCCCCGCCAGATGTTCACGCTTTTCCTCGCCGCTGGGTTTCAGCAAAACCCAGCAGGAAAAAAAAATGCCTTTTGTATTGGACACCGGGGGCTCCAGGGGCAGGGAGGGCGAGTCCTGTGGATGGAGGCGCCACTTGGGTCCCCAGCTCCGGGCACTGCAGCGCCCGGGAGACAATGCCCACCTCGGCGAGGACTTCTCGCCCAGGGCACTTCCCACCCGGCCTCAGGGGGTGAGAGAAGGGTCCCCCCCGTCGTGCCCCCCAGTCCGCGGTGGCCCCACAAGTTGCCGGAGGGCGGCGTGGCGCCCCCTCCGGCTCTCAGCGCGCACCGGCGCCGGCTCCCGCTTTGTCCCCGCGCCCTCCGGGGCGCATCCCGGGGCGGCGGCGCGGGAGGCCGGGCCGGGCGGCGGCGGCGGCGGCGGGCTCACCTCTCATTGTCCGCGGCGGAGGCGGCGGCGGCGGCGGCGGCGGCGCTCCGGAACCCCGGCAGGATGTGGCGGAAGCTGTGGTTGCGGTCCAGCTTGGGCTGGCTCTTGGTGCGCTTGATGGAGCCCTTGAGGCGGCGGCTGAGGAAGCCCTGCGCGCGGGGCGACAAGAAGGGGAAGGGGAGGCGGGGTTAGCGCGGCGGCGGCGGCGGCGCCGGGCCCGGGACCCCGCGCGGGACCCGCGCCCCGGCTCGGGCGGCCGCGCGGCCGAGGGCGGGCGCGGGCTCGGGCTCGGCCCCAGCAGCTCGCAGCCCGCGCCGCCCGCCCGCCGACCGAGCGCCGACGGCCCGGCCCGCGCAGCGAGGCCCAGCCCACCCCGCGCCGCCCGCCCGGCCCAGCCTGGCCCGGCCCAGCCCGCCGCGGCGCCCCCGCCCCTAAGCCGCTGTTGCCATGGCGACGCGGAGCCGAGCCGCGCCGGCCGGGGCCGAGGCGGCCCGAGCCCCCCGGGCGCCGGCGGCCGGGAACCAGGGGGCGGGGCTGCGGGGGGCGGGGACCACCCCGCGGGCTTGGCGACCGTGGTCTCCTCACCTCTGCCGGGAACGAGGTCACACCCCCCACCCGCCCTGGGAAATCCACACCTCCCACACCTTTCCAGACGAACGAGGTGCCTTCCTGCACACAACCCCGGGTATACAGATGGGGAAAGGAAGGCTCTGAGAGCAGGTGTGAGGTCCTCTAAGGACCGACAAGCTACCCTGACCGCCTTGGACCCTTAGCCTGGGTGCCCTTCCTTCTGTGGATGACCATCACGGACCCTCAGGGGGTAGCCCTTTGCTGGAGACGTAGGATTCCAGCCGGGGCAATCACCTTGGGTTCAGGTCCCTAGTGCCTAGCTCAGGGAGAGCCCAGGGGTATCTCCATTGCATCCTTCAAGATTTGGAGCCAGGTCCCCGGGACGTTAGAGGGACGGCTGCCTGGGCCCATTCCTGAACCGCGGTGGAGAGGGGTCTGCTCCTGGGAGGAGTATGGCAGACCTCAGCTGGGGGGAGGGCATTCAGGCCATTCCTCCATCTACCAAGGCTTCCCTGGACAGAGCTTAATCCCACCTCCGCCCCAAGAACTCTTAGGCCAATAGCCAGACAGGCGTTCGATAGTGAAGTGCAGGCGGAACCAGCGCTCCCTTTATAAGGGAATGGGTGGATTTGGAGCCTCAAGGGGCCGCAGCCTGGCGTGTTCTGAACTTGGAACACACAAGATGCTGGAAGGGGAGGAAAACTGGGGGTTGACAGGGGAGGTTCCCCGAGGGAGAATTTATCTGAGAGGGCTCCGGAGTTTCACCACCCTAGCCTCAATTCCAGGTGAACGGGATATTAACTTATTTGTACTCGATCTGAACATCACATTTTATCCATCACATAATAGAGGGTGGTTTTAGGGGCCCTCTCTGGTCCAGGGGGAAAGGTGGACATTTGCCATAGGTCATGCCCTGTGCTAGATCTGCCCCTCTCTATGGCCCCAGCACCCTGGACACGACAAGGTCAAACATTGGTTGAACACATCATCTAATCACCCACACAGAAAAGAAAAAAAAAAAAAAAAATGAAGACGGTAAACCTTGCTCAGAGAAGTAAAATGACTTTCCCAAGGACGCACGGCTTCCAGGCCAACCAAAGCCAGAGCTCCTCCCACAGAATGCCCTCTTCTGCCCACCCTCTCCACGCTTCCCTTTTCCGTTCTCCCCTTACTTTTCCCTCCCACTCAATCTCTCACATCCATGGAAGACCTATCCCTGTGGCTTCCGGTCAGAATACTGCACATCCTACAAGGCCCCAACTGAAATGCCACCTCATCCAGAAGGATTCTCAGGCTGTGGACTCCAAAGCCTCTCACCTCTGCAGCTCAGAGAAACCCCCATGAAGATGCTCTAACCAACTTGCAGTTCACCAGGCATCTCTTAGGTGTTAGCTGCTGGGGATGGGGAGTGGGGGAGGGGGACCCTAATCCAGAGGGGTCACCCAGAGGGCAATGCCCAATGCAGAGGAACCACACATGGTGGCAGCTCAGGGGACAATAGACCCTCTGGGAAACACAGCATGGAGACGGGAACCCACACCTTCACACAAGCCCTGGACTCTCCAAATCTTGGCCTCTTGCCAGGGACGGGGGGGAGGGGAGATGCACCTGGTTAACTTGGATGGGTTCTTCTCGAACAGGTGTTGTTGTCAAGCAAGTTCCTGCTCATGGGTTTGTACTTTTTCTCGTTTTTTATTTTTTATTTTTTTTGTTTCTTTTTCTACACTGATGGAAATTTCTCCATTTTTACACCCATGTGGCACAAAGAACACAAGACATGTTTCACCATTGAGGTTGCTTATTATGTACCAATATTGACGGCTTTACTCATATTTTTAGTGGAAAAAAAAAACAGACATTTTTTTCTCCCTCCTAGGAGACTGAGTGAGACATGTGTTACTTCCTCTCCCCACCTTCTCTAAGGTGACACTTAATGAATGCTCCTCTGACAAGCAGCCTCCCAACTGACCATGACCTTAGGGACTCAAACTCTCTGTAACCATCACTCATTCACCACTTATTAAAGCCCACTATGTGTCAGACACCGTGACCAATATGGCCATGAACACCAGGAAGTAAGCAATGTACAGATTAGGAGGCCAGAGAGCTCAGATCATGAGGAGCGTGATTCTTTAGGACAGCGGTCGGCAAACTCATTAGTCAACGGAGCCAAATATCAACAGCACAACGATTAACATTTGAGAGCCACATTTTTTTTAAACTTAAACTTCTAATGCCACTTCTTCAAAATAATAGACTCGCCCAGGCCGTGGTATTTTGTGGAAGAGCCACACTCAAGGGGCCAAAGAGCCGCATGTGGCTCTCGAGCCGCAGTTTGCCAACCACTGCTTTAGAAGAATGGGGTGGATCCCCATTCACTCCCACCACACTGCACCTGCCGACCCTGGTGTCCCCCCGAGGACTCAGCTCATGTCCCTGCCCATGGCAGCTTTACCAATGCTCATCATCTCAGACAGCCAACGCTAAAAGGGCAGTCGGACCCAAAAGAACGCATTACGAGGGAGAATGAGGCACCAAGGTCACAGTGCAAGGCTAGTCAAAGGTCAGTCCAGTTCCCTGCCCTGGCCAGCCTCACAGCTGGCTCACTGACCTCTTCGTGGGGTGGAGGGACAACGGTGGCTCCTCACTCAGTCCTGCCCGAAGGAAGCTGAGCCTTTCCTCCTGTCGCTTCACGGAAGGTCACCAAACATTATTTCTGGAGGCAGCTGCAGCCCTGAACTCAGGAAGAGAGACTGGAGGTCTTCCAGACAGAAAGTCTTGTTCTAGACCCAAGTCAGTGAGGAGCAGTGGGAAAACCGTGTTCCTTCTTTAAGCGAAACAGGTTCTAGGCCTGCAGCAGAGCCTGCGAGGCGCTGGAGGAAGGCAAACTGGGCTCAACTCAGGCTCCCCAGACCCCCTGGCCTGGGAGGGGGGAGGGGGAGAAGGAGAGGAGAAGGCCAGCAAGGCCCTGATTCTCTGGGAAATGGGTGGGGACTGCAGTGAGGCTTACGTAGGACAGATAAAGCTCTGGACCCCTCTTTCCACACCCGAGGGGCCTGGCTTTATCCCACCTTCTCCAGGAGGCAGATCCTATACAAGGTGGCCCTGCTGATCACACCCCGCACAAGTCCTCTCCCACCACCTGTGTCCAAATCTTAATTCTGATAAGCAAGGGGTGAGGGGAGGGGCGAGGGGTGAGGGGAGGGGTGAGTGGGGGCGTGCAAACTAGTAGAGCTCTCTGAGCCTGTGTCCCTATCTACAAAACGGGCTAATGACATCGACGGGGTGGGAAGGCTTAACTAAGGTAAGAGATCACCAGTAAAATGCTAACAATTAAGCAACTAAACATAGTAGTTGTCAGCTTTATTATTATTATTATTATTATTATTATCATCACTGATGTTGCCTCTAGTACAGAGATTTTCAACCTTTTTCCTCTGGTGGCACACATAAACTACCGGTACAGATAAAGCTCTGGAAGGTATGTGACCACCACCGGGGGAAGTCTGTCTGGCATTCTGAGGAGCTTGACGATGGCCTGGCAGCCCGAGGTCACGCCTAGTAAAGGAAAGAGCATGCTTGCAAAGCGAGGCTGGAGTCACAGGCTCTCATCCAGTTTGGTAGTTTTGAACTTTTTAAAAAAAAAAAAAAAAAAAAAACAAGCGCTGTTTTCTTTTTAAAGGAACCTCACAGAGACTCTGGAGATACGAAGAGCTGGGGCGGGCTGCTCAGATGGCGGTCTCAGCTCCCATTCACTGGAGCAGGCACTGATGTCTCAAGCTCAGCGAGGAGCCGGCTCAGTCCGTGGGAACCGAGCCTCCGCCCTCCCCGGATGAGGCGCTCTGCCTCCACTAGCACAGCCCTGTTCCCCGTGCTCCTCAGACAGCTGTGTCACTGACTGAGGTCAACTCAGGCCCCAGAGGCTTTTGCACAAGGCAGCTGCCTGGTGCCACGCCTCCCCAACCCCCAGTCCAGCCTGGTGTTCGGGTGCCGACAGCTGTGAGTGCCCGCTGCCCGTTCGGAAGTCCTCCCGCTAGCCTGGTCCAGAGGACCCCTGGGCTTACATCCGTGTCACTGACCAACGTGCAAGGCAGTCTGAACGGAGGACAGGAGTCTGTGGGACCTCCGGCTGGAAGGACCCCCGTTCTCGGCAGCTCCCTCACCCCCGTTCCAGCCGCTACGCCACCATCCTGGCGTCGGGCCCACAACCCTGCTCCTTCCCCGGGATGTTCTGAGACTTTCTCAAGGGCCTTTCAGAATTCCAGACACACGATTTCTTCACTCACCCATTTCAATCAATTCCAAGCGATGATGATGATGATAAATTACCCGTTATCGTGTTCCGGCTCTGGCAAGCCGCTCTGCCCCCCACACTCGCTGCACGTCCCAAGGAGGGCCCAATGCCTCTTCCTGGGACTCCCTGGGAAACTGTGTGCCTCAGAATTCAGAGTGTTTCAGGTTTTCAGGTGAGTAAATGGAGGCTCAGGGAAGTTAGGCCACTTGCCCAGTGCAGAGCTGATAGGCAGTGGAGCTGGTAGTGTAACCAGGAGAGTTCTAGCCCCTGGCATGGGCAGGGTGG